CCGTAATTGTAATGTGTGTGTGTGTGTGTGTGTGTGTGTGTGTCAGGCGTAAGTCTCAGCAGTGACTTCATCTCGGGCTTTTGCGGTGAGACGGAAGACGATCACCGGCAGACCTTGTCTCTCATCAGAGAAGTAGGCTACAACATCGGGTTCCTTTTTGCCTACAGCATGAGAAAGGTGAGCAAGTCACAGAAGTGGCGCCGCCGTGACATCATCATTCCTTAGACTTTGGTCTTTTTGTTGTCCGTCTTAGAAAACCCATGCGTCCCATAACCTTCAAGATGACGTGCCGGTGGATGTGAAGCAACGTCGGCTGGCGGAGTGCATCGGTGTGTTCAGACAGGAAGCTGCGAGGGTCAACGCCGCTCTTGTTGGCAGCACACAACTTGTCCTGGTGGAGGGGGTCAGTCAAGTAGTCATGACCCGTGCATAAGGCTCAGTGTGGTCCTGTTTTGGTTTCCTTTTTGTTCTTCTGCCAAAACCTGTCCCACTTTTGAATTGTCGCTCGTTTGAACCAACAAAAGGCGTCAGACGTACCAATGGGCGACGCTCCTTTTAACTTGAAGTGTCATCGATAATCGTTCCGTTGCAGCAACACAAGCCAAAGAGTTTGAAGCATTTCCTGCTGAAAATGGAAGCAAGTACGGGATACTTTTCGGCTGTCTTGCCAAGGGAAAGTGTGCACTTCGGACAGCTAGGCATCATTTGGTTTCATCAAAACATATTCTAATCGCAATGTTCTTTTTTTCCAAATATCCCGACTGCTTATCAGTCATTGCTTTGTGCCGACGACAATCATTGCAAGTTTTTCCATATTCTGATGCTGCATTCGAATCATATTGTCATCCGGAAAGTAGCCCTCTTTTTTTTTTCTTTTCTTAATTTGCAAAGCCAGCAGATGTTTTTCGAACGGTCTAAATTGATTTGTGATGCGTAACAAAGCTCACTCTCAGCACAAGGCGCACATGTTGTACTGGGTTAACGTAACCTTACCGAGCAACAATGCTCATGGCGCCATTCTTTTTTTTTTTTTTTTTTTTTTTTTTTGCCAGGGAGAACAAAACTCCAAGTCGCAGAAGTGGCGCCGCCGTGACATCTTCATTCCTTCGACTTTGGTCTTTTTGTTGTCCGTCTTAGAAAACCCATGCGTCCCATAACCTTCAAGATGACGTGCCGGTGGATGTGAAGCAACGTCGGCTGGCGGAGTGCATCGGTGTGTTCAGACAGGAAGCTGCGAGGGTCAACGCCGCTCTTGTTGGCAGCACACAACTTGTCCTGGTGGAGGGGGTCAGTCAAGTAGTCATGACCCGTGCATAAGGCTCAGTGTGGTCCTGTTTTGGTTTCCTTTTGGTTCTCCTGCCAAAACCTGTCCCACTTTTGAATTGTCGCTCATTTGAACCAACAAAAGGCGTCGGACGTACCAATGGGCGACGCTCTTTTTAACTTGAAGTGTCATCGATAATTGTTCCGTTGCAGCAACACAAGCCAAAGAGTTTGAAGCATTTCCTGCTGAAAATGGAAGCAAGTACGGGATACTTTTCGGCTGTCTTGACACGGGACAGTGTGCACTTCGGATAGCTAGGCATCATTTGGTCTCATCAAAACATGTTCTAATCGCAATGTTCTTTTTTTTCCAAATATCCCGACTGCTTATCAGTCATTGCTTTGTGCCGACGACAATCATTGCAAGTTTTTCCATATTCTGATGCTGCATTCGAATCATATTGTCATCCGGAAAGTAGCCCTCTTTTTTTTTTTCTTTTCTTAATTTGCAAAGCCAGCAGATGTTTTTCGAACGGTCTAAATTGATTTGTGATGCGTAACAAAGCTCACTCTCAGCACAAGGCGCACATGTTGTACTGGGTTAACGTAACCTTACCGAGCAACAATGCTCATGGCGCCATTCTTTTTTTTTTTTTTTTTTTTTTTTTTTTTTGTTTGACAGGAGAGTAAGAGATCTGCCAAGGAGCTGTGCGGCAGAACAGATGGCAATATGAGAGTGATCTTCCCAAGGGAGGATGTTGCTGCTCATCCTGCCGACTCCAACTCGGCCGCAATCAATGTTGGAGACTACGTGCTAGTGAAGGTGAACATGAGTGCACTTAGGTCTGTTTTAAGGGCCGTAGACAAGGTGGACAAATAGCAGTCGCCGTTAGCACAAAACTCGCAGACTTCGGCTTGAAAGCGGAGGAAAAAAACTGCTCTGCTGCTTGGTGATTTGATCTCAATTGTCAAGTCGTAATATTCCAGGTTTGAGAAGGCCCCTGTATCATTTTTGTGAGAAACGCCGAGAGAACTGTGAATGATTTGAATGACCAGTAACCGTCCGTTTTTCCTCTTCTGCAGATCACGTCAGCCAGTTCGCAGAGTTTGAGAGGTCAAGCCTTGTGTCAACAGGCATCCCTTGATCCAGTCGGCGCTTCCGTCCAGCCATTCATATGAACATTTGCCTCGCCATCCGTGACTGCCGCATGCCCCGTGATGGCCACTCTTGACAAGTCAGGAAACAAACGACGGCATGTCATCTTGTCGCAAAGGTACTTCAACCATCCTGGTCACTTTCGGACCACCGAGTCCGTGTTGATCCGTGATGTGACAACACATTCACAACACAACTTTTAGTGTGTGACCGTCCGAGGGTTAAATGTCTTTAACTGTCGAGTTTGCCGAGCTGAGTTTTGGGATGTATTCGGTTTGTGTTGCACAAATTTCAGAAATTTGGTCGATGATGATGGCACATATTGTTCATGATTTAATTAGAATACGTATTGTATGGGTGCCCGAGGCAGTAAAAAATTACAGCCTAAATTACAGTATCAGTCAACTAAAAGGTACAACCATGTTTGTATTAGCTCAACATATTTGTCCACTTATGTTGATTAACAAGAGAATAAAAAATATGAATTTTTTTTTTTGTACCTTTAGAACAGATCAAATGTGTCTTGATTTGAGATTGACAGCGAGTTGACAGTTAAACATTTTCATCGGCTATTTAGAGGACTTAGGGCAGGAGCTCAGAGGTAAGGCGGGACGAAGCCATTTCAAGATTTGAAAACATCATCGGCTATTTAGAAGACTACCAGGAGCTCAGAGAGATAAGGCGGGACGAAGCCATTTCAAGATTTGAAAACAGATCACGGGATCTTTAAAAGAACTCTCAAATGTAAAGAGAAACTGGAACAAATGTTGAGCAATAATATTGAAATGAAAGCTGAAGATGTGGAGGATCTCGGAGTCATTTGCAGTGATTGTTTTTCCGTTGTGGATGTCACTCCATCACCCTGTAAACTGAACATCTGTCCCAATCAGAATGTAGTCCTGTGAAATAAAAAGAGACATTTAAAACGTCACAGATAATGATTTAGCCACTAACTTTTAATGGAAATTGCACTCGTTCTGACCTTCAGGATCTGAAGGTCGGGGTTGACGAGCTTCATCTTCCCAATGGTGGGGAGCGGATATCCCTTTGCAAGTTGAACTGCGGAGCAAGGCATTCATTCATTTCACAAGACAATAGACATCGCCATAAAGAACGCCCCGATATGGTAGTTGATCTGTAAAAAATGCCCAAATGTTCATATGAAGACCTAATTCGGTCAATTTGTCATGACAGGATGCGCAATTTCTGATCCGCGGTTGTTGAAAACGGCTCCATGTGTCATGGGGGAGCAAAAGCTCATTTGGTCGCCACTTACCATTCACTTTTGGAATAACAACCATTTTCAGGACCAGGTTCAGGATGTTGTCAAGGGATTTGACCTGTATCGTCACTTCGGGTTAGTTCCTCTCACTGGTATGGACTAAAAAGTGGTCATTTGCATCTTACCTGAAAGTCTCCCACATAACTTGTCCCCAGGGTCAGCTCCATTCTGTGCAAATGAGGCACAATTAGACTGTGGCGTTTGTCCTCGCGAGGAACTTTTAGCCCCACCGTTTCCTCAAAGAACAAAGAGTCTTTTTTATTTATTTTTTTGGGAACTTACTTGTTGAGGGTCACCTTTCCAGTTAGCATCATGCCACTAACAAAGACGCTGGCACTGACACTGGTCTCCTGTAAGGGGAAAATGAATACAAATGACGAACGTTTTTTTTTTTTTGTTAAAGATTAAAAGTCACAAAATTGGTTTTGCAAAGATTAAGGCCTCAAATAGCACTTAAAAAGTGTTAAATATGAACTCCTGCAGCATTGATTCAATCAAAGCTGCCGCTTAGCCGTTAAGCATCAAGCGAGGTTGGTCGAGCTCTCCAAGGGGGTCTGCATGGACACTCCCAGTGTCCTTTGCAGGAAAGCTGCATCACGCCTGACAATGCACCCCCTGCAGAGCCAAGAGCTGAGTGTATGCCCATCTTGTCACTTGGAGTGACTCCAAGTCACTCGTCCTTTTGACTCAAGGGAGATGCTATTCAGCAACTCTTCAAGATAACATGTGGAACATCATTGGGATCGTTTCTGGCTCCTTTGCAGGAAAGCTGCATCACGCCTGACAATGCCCATCACTATCCAAGCATATTTGTATGAGGTAAACATACGTGTCCACCTTTATGTTTGTTCACAGGAGTATGAAAAAGTTGACATTTCTTCAAGAAGATGACAGTAAAGAAAAGTTTGTGACGTGCCATGTTGAGGACAAACAGCGGCGAGAGCGTGCCGTTGGCTTGGATGGCATAGGCCGTCACCGTGCTGGTGGCTTGAATCGTCGCGTTGTTGCTCTCCACGGTGACGATGGGCGTTTCCGCCGTTTTTACCAGCAGTTTCATCAACAAACACGGGAAAGATTTGGCAATCTGAAAGTTCAAGGCAATATTTTTGGACAAATCACTTCCTGTGCCCGAGTTCATCGTTTTGCGAGATTGACTGTCACCTGGGGGATGAAACCGCCAAATGTTCTGGTGTTGAGCCTGAATGGGGAGCTTTGAGGGATCTGCGGCGATGGAGCGACAATGGTTACACATCAACATGAAGGCATGGAAGTTGACACGTTTGAAATGAGAACGCTGCGGCCAGCCGCGGCCCACCATGTCATCGGTGATGTACAAGCTCAGGGCTCCGGCGGTGTGGTAGACAAAAGCCGCAGAGTTGGCGGTGAAGGCGGACACGCCCAAGTACAACATTTTCTTGTCCTCGGTTGGCAGAGAGAAGACCGCAGCGGGGAACGGAGTTTCCTGCTTTTTCTCGATGTTGTAGAATTCCCCCTAATTTCCAGAAGAAGGGCAATCCAAATGTGGAGCTCCGCCTTTCAAATCATTTCAACCGTGAGACGCGCGCTTTTACCTTCAAGCTCAAACCGATGGAAGACTTGACGATCGTGGGGTCGGCGACCATGGAATATTCAATCTCTGCGTACTTGTCCACTTGGGCCAAGACTGCGGGAAAGAGGAAAGAGATTGAAAGCTGTTCAGTCACAGCACCGCTCGGCATTCCCATGCAATTCAATCTGAGAGAAATGTCATTTCCCACCCAAGTGCACACGTGCGTGCTTTTTCTGATTTAAGCGCAACAGAGAATATGCTCCCAAATCTTGTCCGTTGCTATCATCCAATGAAAAGCGGCGCGAAATAGGTTCTGACGTATTCACCCATGACATGAATAGGCTTGCTTACCATTGAGCGTTTTCAACTGAGGGTTCAAATCAGTCACGGCGTCAGCCACCAGGGGGCAGATCTGAAAAAGTCAATCAGAGTACGATTCTCACTCCATAAACCGATTCACTTGTTTTGTGGGAAGATGTGAATCCGTTTTAAGATTCTCATCACGTTTTTAGACTTCAATGTGACGATAACTGACAGGAAGCCGTGTGTTCAAACTTGACAATCAGGACAAAATCATTGAGCTGCCACCGTCTAGTAACGCAGCTCAACGCGTCGGTCGGCAATTTTCATCAGTTAACTATTGAAATGAAAACAGGTTTCAGTTTCGGGCCGTCGTTTGCTTTCTAATGAAAACCGAACCACGAGAGCTAATTCCTTCCAAATGTTTTCATTGCTCAGCCACTCAAGCAAATGACATTTGGATCACTGCCGCCCTCCGAACATCATATCCATCCATATTGCATCTTTGTAGACTGTGCATTATGCGATTCGTTTAGCTTTCTGTAAAGTGTGAAGAGATGCAATTATTTCTACCATGTGCTGTCCTTCCTCCAGGCCATCACACGCAGCCGTATAAGGCCACATCAGCCCTGTCAACAAAGTTTCGATGAAAATACATAAACTGTCACACAAAAGAGGAAGAAAGATTACATTGAGGAAGCAGATATGGTGGAAGGTGATTTCTGTGTGTGTGTGCGTGTGTGTTTTAATGCTAGACATGTAGTAAGCAGGTCTGCTTCCCAGTTCTGAGGTTTGGGGTGTGAATCGCTGATCGGTCCGTGGTATTTAGAATTTGCATGTTGTTTCTGTGCTGACGTGCCCCCCTCCCCCACCCCCACGCACACACATTGTTCATTCCTATTTATCCCAATTGACAACATATCCAAAATGCATCTTCTGAACTTGTCATGGGAAAATTCCAGAAAAATTGATTGGCATGGCCGACACAGCAACGTTTGGTACTTTGTGCCCTTAATCAGAGTACAGAACCGGAATACTTCAACGTTTTATACCTCTAGATGGAATTTATCACTTAAATAACTTGCTACACGATCAAAAGATTCCCTCTGGTCAACGGTGTTTCGAGATAAACCGGCCTGCTGGTCAAGAGTGCTCAGGAAGTGCTCACCTTTTTTTGTAGCGCATTGCTAAGCGCCTTGTTGATGAAGCTTCTGAAAAGATTGTACAGCCAGCTGAAATAAAAGAGACGCCCTGATCAATGAGTCACTTCTTGTCTTGGTGAACAGTAGTGCATAGCAGTGCTTTTTTTTTTTTCTGTCACCTGGCTCCGCCGTGGAATTTGATGTTCACGGTGCCGACAGTCGCCGTACAGTCGACGTTACTGACCTGGGGTCGCCCCGTTTCATCACTTTTGACCGCCACAACTGAGCTGATGGACAGCCCTGTCACACTCAAATCA